CTGGCGCTTGCATAATAGACAAGAGGGTCCATATATTTAAGTCAAAAGCATTAGACTTACCATTCTCTTGGTCATTTTTAAAGTATCTGACTCAATCATTCTTTCCTAAATTTTTTCCTGACACGACCTACACAATCCTCTTCTCCTCAACACACTACCTTCCCCATACTTCTTGTTTTTCACTGACTCATCCCTTCATTGTATACATTCTCCAGTGTTTTCTCTCTTTCTAAGTAACTGTGAGTCCCTAGAAGGTTTGACCTTATTCATCTTTAGAAGCTCAGTGTCTGTCAGAGCACAGTACAAATAAGAAATGTTTGTTGAATGAATGAGGCCAGACTGCAAAGGGCCTACAAGGCATTCCAAATAGTTTAGGCTTCTTCTCAAGGACAATGGAGACCATAAAAGGTGTACATCCATGGAAGGTGGAGATAATCAGATCTGCAACCTTAGAAAACAATTTAGAGAGAAAATAAAGGACATTTAGTGAGTTTGCTGGGTTATGACAAAGAACAACTAGAGAATGACACTCAGGTTTCTGGCTTGAGAAGGTACTTGAGTGGAAAATAATGCCATTAAGGAGCTACAGAAAAGAGTGAGTACTAAGCTGTAGGCTACTAATTGTATTTCTGTACAGGTATTTTAGTATACTAACTTGAAAGATCAAGTAATAAACTGTTTCACTTATATTTAAAGCTATCCCATACTTTCAATTTCCTTACTTTCAATTCTAACTAAAATATGTGCAAGTCAAATTCTGTTATAATAAAATTTTACTATGACAAAAAGATTACCAACCTTCCTACTTCATCAATTCAAACATAATTACAACAAAGTTTACCACTGAGGGTAATTCAGTAGGGACATACTTTTCAAGTTTCTTTTATAACAAGGTCCTTGTTATGAAACAAATATTAATCTTTCCTATGCTTGATTATGAAGCAGACTAACACATTTAAAGAATATAATGGGCATTGTTAGGTATGGTAGAAATCATCCCCCCTTCTGTCTAATAAATACAAGAAAGTTCTAAAAGCAAAACAAACCTCGAGTCATTCTTGGCAGTTTTGAAAGCAAAAAAGAAAATCTAGGCAGTAGGGCATTACTTATGCCTTCTATAGCAAATGCATTCTTTTAAGATAACCATGCCCACACTTTGTCTTTGGAAAGAAAAAATCAAATGCATCACTGTCAACAAACAAAGTTCCTTTTCAATTATTAATAATTATTTTAGTCATATTTATTATAACAGAGTTCTAGCTTAACAGAATCTACAAAACCACTAACAGTTCATAAAGCATTTGGCCTAAAAATTTAAATTTCTTCCAAGTTCTGTGTGATGATATTTACTTGGATCATTTACCAATTAAACGTTAGTTCAATTTAATAGCATCATTTAGACACCTACGTGATCTATAAGCAATCTTACCTACATTTAGTCTTATTCAAGCCTTGAGACAGGGCCCATGCTTTATATATACCTTTTTATGCTAATACAATAGTCTATAATAAATATATTCAATTAAATGGAATAAAACAGTAATACATTTTTTCTTATGAATATTTAATCTTATGTTATAGTAATTTTTTTCTTCTAAGGACTATATGCTTGAATATTTATTCTCAGCAAGAATTATATTTTGTGTCATGATAGTTAAAAGTTGGGAAAATAAAGAGGAAAATGCAGTATTTGGGAAACAAAAGCAAAACCATATGAAACATGCAAAAAACAAAATGTATGAAAAACATAAAATGTAAAAGTATGATAATTTATAAATGATCACTTAAGAGTTCCAGAGGAGCATTTCCTCTATTTCCTGTCTCAATACATAATTTAGATTTTGCACATAACATTTTAAAGTAATATTCAAAATTCTTGAAAGGATGATGGTTGCACAACTCTGCAAATCTACTAAAAACCAATGAATTGTATACTTTAAATGGAATATATGAATTACAACTCAATAAAGCTGTTTAAAAATAGTCCTGGTAGAGCAAGGCTCTTGCTTATATCCTTAAAAAACCCCTTTAGTATTCAGTGGTAGAGAAACACTGGCAACTTGAAACACAGAAATGTGTATAATTTAAATAATATCAGCTTCTTGATGAGTGCTACTATAAAAGCTGTGGGAAATTTGCTCAACTCACACTTAAAATCTGAAAATACCTGTAGAAAAATATCTTCAATAAATGATATTTGGAGGAAAGGGTTACCTCCATACCATCCTTCATACAAAAAAATTTCTAGATGGAGTTAAAAGTAAAAAATAGAAACTATAAAATTAAAAGAAAAATACCTGACTATGGGATTGGGAAAAGCCTTTCTAAGAATACAAGTAATGGAAGAAATCATAAAAGAAAAAAGATTGGTAGATCTGAGGGAAATAATGTGTGGGTTAAATAACATAAATAAAGTTAAAAGATAGACTGAAAAAATACATAAAATATATTTGTAACATATGTCAAATGGTTAAAATTCTTAATTTGTAAAGTTCTCTTATCAATCACTGAGAAAAAATAACATTCTAAAAGAAAAATGGTCCAGGTGTGGTGGCTCATGTCTATAATCCTAGCACTCTGGGAGGCTGAGGCAGGATTGTTTGAGCTCAGGAGTTCGAGACCAGCCTGAGCAAGAGTGAGACCCCGTACTAAAAAAAATAGAAAGAAATTAATTGGACAACTAAAAATATATAGAAAAAATTAGCTGGGCATGGTGGTACATGCTTGTAGTCCCAGCTACTAGGGAGGCTGAGGCAGAAGGATTGCTTGAGCCTAGGAGTTTGAGGTTGCTGTGAGCTAGGCTGACAGCACGGTATTCTAGCCCGGGCAACAGAGGGAGACTTTGCCTCAAAAAACAAACAAACAAAAATCTAGGTTGGAGCTATAAATCTGTTAGGTCAGCTGTATGTCAGTTACAATTAAGACAGTGGACATAGACAAAATCAATTAGAAGGGAGGATGTATAGAGGAGAAGGCAGTCTAGAAATGAACCTTGAAGAACTTCAACATTTAATGACTGGCTAGAAGAGGGAAATGGGGCTCCAAGAGGTTAAGTCACTTGCTCAAGCACACACAGTGAATAAATAGAAGGAAAAAAAATTGCAACTATTATGCTCTGCTGGCTACTTAGGATTAAAAGCATACTTTTGGGTTTGAAAGAGGTTACCAACTGTAACAAATTACCTATGTTAGCCAAGAATTTCTACATAATCTCACTAAAATACACATGAGAGCTAAATTGGTGCTCTTTTCAAACTTGCAAAGCACAGTATCTTTAAATGTTTCCTTACACAGAGGTGGTAAGGAATCACTGCATTATGAACATCGAGTGCAATATCTGAATTTTCCTCTAGCCAAGAAATGGTCTAAATAGATCATGTAGTAGTAATTACAATGCTGTACTTCTCAACACGGAGTACAGGAAGTGCCCCTGAGGTGTGCAGCAGAGGGACAAGGACTACTTGAAGAAAACTGATAAAGATGTTGCATCTTTTTGTTTATTTATTTATTTTTATTTTTATTTCAGGATATTATGAGGGTACATTTTGGTTACATTTTATGTCTTTGCCTCACCCAAGCGAGGGTTAGAGGCATGCCCTTCCCCTCTACAATGCTCCCCGTGTCCTTTAGTTGCAGGTTTACCCCCCACCCCCAAATATCCCCCTAATCCCTGGAGAATATTACTGCCATGTGAGCACCATAGTGTTGATCAGTTAGTGCCAATTTGATGGCGAGTACATGTGGAGCCCATTCTTC